AGAGCTCCCTGAGCTTTTGTTAATTGAATGAATTTTCAGTAACTGATTTGATGACTCTGCTTGCTTGGAAATGACTAAAAGAAGCCTTGGTGGTACAGTGGTTAAGTATTTGACTGCTAGTGGTAGTTGTAATATATCAGCTGCTTTTGCGAGAAAGATGTGGGAATCCAGCCCTGTAAGCCCTGCTGAGATGTCTGGAGTTTCTAGGAGGCAGAAATAACTGGATGGCAATGGGTTGAGAGGCACAGTTGGGGCTGGATTACCAATGTCAAGGTATGCACAAGCCCAGTTGTGCCTTCCCACCAATGGCAGGGGACAGTTTCAGCTGTCCTCAGTCACATCAGAAACATGGTGAATGTGGAATTGCTTTCCAGGAATTGACAAGTAAATACAATTAATCCTGAGTGGACCTTGCTCAATGTGAGCTGGTGCATACCAGATTTATTGGTTAATGGGTCCAGGATTGTGGTATCACATGAAGAAAGTGAGTGGGTGGAAATGCAAGTTCAAAATATCCTGTAAAGCAAAGTGATAATTAGGAGATCCCCTCCTTCTGTCAGGAAGGCACCCTTACTCCTGGGGCTCTATTTCTCCCCCAACTTGGAGAACTCAAAGGAAGATAAGCAAGGGAAACAGGATGCACCTTGACCTCTAGCCCAAAGTCTCATTTATGGGGGCTGGAGGGCAGGAAGGGCATTGAGTACCCTTGAGATAAGTGAATTCCACTCCTCATCATAAATGAGAAATAAAAACAACTCCCTGGGCTAGGATCATTCCACTCTAGATAATTCTCCATAGTATGTACTTCAGAGTTTTCTTGCATTTGAAATCTCACCCTGCCAAAGATCAAGCAGTTAACTGGCATCATAGGAGAGTACCCTTAGCAAAAGTATATTGAGGGTTCTGTTTATTTAATGTTACTGTTATGTGCCATGGAGTCACTTGTGACTCATAGCGACCCTTTGTACTTTAGCTCTGAAACCTGTCCTATCCTGAGCCAATCATTGTCTCCAACGGACTTAATACCATTCTTCCAATTACTAAATCAATCTGTCTCATCCTGGATCTTCCTCTCCTGCGCTGTCCCTCTACCCTTCCAAGCATGATGACCTTCTCCAAGGACCAGTCTCTCCTGGCCATGTACCCAAAGTATGCGAGCTGGAGCTTCAAAATACTTTACCTGCAGGGAGCAGTCCAATCTCACACTCTCCAGGGTGGACCTGCTTGTTCTGGCAATCCATGGAATGTTCAGTACTCTTCTCCAGCACCACAACTCAAAGACGGCTTCTATCATCCTTAGTTATTGTCCAGCTCTCAGATGCATAGGAAATAATTGCGAAGACCATGGCATAGATCAGGTACACCTTAGTCTCCAGACTGACACTGTCGCTCTCCAGTACTTTTAGAGAGGTCCCTCTAGAGAGCAGATTTTCCCAATGCAATTTGTCTTTTGATTTCCTGACCAAGAGTGTTGACTGTGAAACCAAGTAAGCTGAAGTTACCAACAATCTTAACCTCTTCTCCATCCATCATGAAACTAATTGGCCCAGTAATGAGAATCTTTGTTTTCTTGATGTTGAGCTTCAACCCATATTGAAGACTGTAGTCCTTGACCATCTGCAGCAAATGCCTCATGTCCTTTCAATTTCAGCAAGCAAAGATTGTTGGTGAGACTTCCTCAGATTCTGATGCCTCATTTCTCTCATAAAGCCAGCCTCCTGAATGATCTGTTCTGCGTACAGATTGAAAGATATAGAGATAAGATGCATCCTTGATGCATACCTTTCCTGGTCCTGAACCGTGCAGTGTTTCTTTGCTCTGTTCTACTACTACTTGGTTCAAGTATAGGTTTCACCTAAACACAATCAAGTGTTCTGGAATTCCCTTTCTTCTCAGTTAACCACAATTTGTTGTGATCCAGAATCAAATGCCTTTGCCTAGTCAATGAAACACAGACATTCTTCTGCTACTCTCTGCTTTTAGCCAAGCTCCATCTAACGTTGGCTATGATGTCCCTAGTGCCATGGCCTCTTCGAAACCTAGCCTATGCATCTGGTTTTTCTATTATGACAGTAAAAATACTTGAGTGCTGGAAGTTGTCCAAGTCTTGCTTTTCAAAGGAAGAATCCAGGTGGCTCTAAGCTCTTTAGCATTATCTATAATAAAGATAAAGATCTCTTTTAGGCAAAATTTTTAATTATTTTTTTCTTTTCCTTGTTGTGTACCCTCCAGGCAGATCTGACTGGCACGGGAGGAAATTGCCCCTCCTTCTCTAGCAGAGCATCTAGTGGATGCGAACCATGCACGTTCAGGATTGCAGTGCAGCTTCTTGCCACTAAGCCAGCTGGGCTCCCTTTGGCAAACTGCTTTTGAGTGATGAAACAAAATTATCTTTATTGCTTCCTTGCTGGAGACATCTGTCAATACCAACTCAGATGCAATGTTGTTGTTATGTACCTGAGTCAGAACCAACTTTTAGGTGGTTCTCCAGCAAGTTTTCAGAGGCAGTAAATCCTATGGGAGGAGACTGCCTGTCTTTCTCTTGCAGAACAGCTGATGGATTAGAAACATGAACCTTAGATTTGGCAGCACAATTTCTTACCACTAAGCCATCATAGCTCCCTGAGATAAAATATCACCAACTTTTAGCATATACCATACCTTCTTATCTTTATTTCTACTAAGCCATCTTTATTTTAAAATAGTTTTCTCTTCTGTAGAGAATCTAATAATGTATATTAAAAAAAAAGTAAAAAAGAAGAGTACATCTACCAAATAGCCTCACTAAGAGGTTCTTGTTATTCCAATGGTTTCTCCCCCACCCCCAACCCAGGGTGAGTTCTCCTTCTGGAAGGCTTACCTGTGATTTGCTAGTCTATCAGGAATGATCTTTCGTCCCTGCGTTAGATCATAATAACCAAGTCTTTGAGGCTGGTGAGAAAAATCATGATAGGCCACCACATGTTTTCTCCCTGGTGGGATGAAGTACTACAGTTTCTCTAAGATTTCTTTTCTCATTTCCACATGCGTAATGTCAGAATCACTAATTGGTACTTTTTTCAATGAAGTCATAACCCCCTTAACTTTTTTTAAATTTTATTTTATTATTTTATTGTGTGTGTTTACCGTCAAATCGTATCTGACTGGTACAGGAGGAGATTGTCCCTCCTATGCCAGCAGAGCATCTGGTGGATTTGAACTGCATGCCTCTGGGATTGCAGTGCAGCTTCTTGCCACTAGGCCACCAGAGCTCCCTAACCCCCTTAACTTTTACAACGGTCTTTAATCCCATCCTCCTCTCATCTTGCTAAGCCATTCTGGGGGACATTACTCCCTGCTCCCTCCCCTTACCCCCGGCTTCTCTTATCTGTCAATTCATATTTACTTCATCCACAGCATCATATCCAAACTCTTGCTCATTGTAAATATAGAAATTCTCTTAGCCTTTTTGTATTTAACCTTACCAAACTCCAACTTGAGATATAAATTGCTACTTTCTCCTTCCTTTTTTGAGTGTCTAGTATGGTGAGAAAAGGCCATTAAATCACACTGACAGTTATGTGCCTATGAGTCAAGTGTGATTTGTAGTGACCTTATGAAAAACAGATCTGGACACTATCCTATCCTGTGCCATCCTTACACTTCCTGACACATTAAAGCCATTGAAGCAGTCACTGTGTCAATCCTCTTGGTTGAGGGTCTTCCTCTTCTTCACTGACCCTCTACCTTTCTTAGCCTCATGTTCCTTTCCAAGGAATAGCCCTTTCTAGCAACTTATCCAAAGCATGTGAGGCAAAGCCTTATCATTCTTGCCTCCAAAGGATACCAGCTGCACCCTCTCCAAGATATACCTGTTTGTTCTCTTTGCTGTCTATGGGATGGTCAGTGCTCTTCATTAACACAACAGCTCAAAGGCATCACTTCTTCTGTCATACTTATTCATTGTATGCTCTCCAAGTCATTGGAAAGACTACGGCCTGAATCAGACCAACCTTAGTTCTTAAACTGACATAATTACTTGTCAATAATTTGGAGAGGTCCCTAACTGAAAACTTTCCCAGTGCAATACGTCTCTTGATTTCCTAACTGCTGGTACCAAGGATATTAATTGTGGATCTAAGTAAGATGAAGTTTCAATCGACAGTTTCAATCTCTTCTCCATCCATCATGATGTGGCTTATCCTCTAGTGGTAAGAATCTTTGTTTTCTTGACATTGAGATACAATCCACATTGAAGCCTGCATTCCTTGATGATATGCAACAAGTGCTTCAAGTCCTCCTCACTTTCAGCAGCAAGGTTGTGTCTTCTGCATAATGCTGATTATTGATGAATCTCCCTCTGATCCTGATGCCACATTCCTTTTCATAGAATTGCTTCTCGAATAATTTGCTCAGCATGCAGATTAAACAGATATTGAATACAACCTTGACAAACTCCTTGATTTTAAACTATGCAGTGTTCTCCTGCTCTGTTCACACACCAGCCTCCTGGTCCAGGTATATGTTTTGCATGAACACAATTAAGTGCTCTGGGATTCTCATTATTCTCAATGTCAGCCACAACTTGTTATGATCTACACAGTCAAATACCTTTGCATAGTCAATAAAGCACAAATAAACATTCTTTTGGTATACTTTCAGCCAGGCTCCATCTGACATCAACAATGATATTCCTTGTACCACAGCCTCTTCTAAATCCTGCTTGAAATTCTGGCAGTTCCCTATCTATCTACTAGCTGGTTTTGAATGATCTTTAGTGCTAATATGCTTTTATGTGATTAATGATATTGTTCAATAGTTTCCGCATTCTATTGGATCACCTTTTTTTGGGAATGAGAATAAATATAGATCTCTTTCAATTCATTGGCCCGACAACTTTCCTCTAAATTTTCTGGCATAGACTGGCTAACACATCTAGGGCTGGATCTGTTAATTGAAACAAACAAATTGGTATCCCATACTGACTAGCCTGCTATAAACACATGCCTTTTAAAACTTACAAGTTGCTTCTTAGAATTCATTCTCTTTGAGTACTGCTGCTGAGTTACGAAGAAAAGGAGAAACAATGGTCGTGCCAAAAAGGGCCGCGGCCACGTGCAGCCTATTCGCTGCACGAACTGCGCCCGGTGCGTGCCCAAAGACAAGGCAATTAAGAAGTTCGTAATCCGAAATATAGTAGAGGCAGTTGCTGTCAGGGACATTTCCGAAGCGAGTGTTTTCGACGCCTATGTGCTTCCA